TCAGCTCGGTGGCTCAGCCTGTAATCCTGCGCCTTGGGAGGCTGAGGTGAGTGAATTGCCTGAGCCTGCGGGTTCGAGACCCGCCTGGGCAACTTGGTAAGACCTCATCTCTACAATAAATCAAAAATTAGCCGGGTGTGGTAGCGCACGCCTGTAGTTCCAGCTACTTGGAAGGCTGAGGTGGAAGGATTGCCGGAGCCCAGTAGGTTGAGGCTGCAGTGACCAGGAGCGGCCACTGCACTCCAGACTGGGCGACAGAGTGAGACTCCAACTCAAAAAAAAAAAAAAAGCTAGATCAAGTAGCTTTTTATTACTTGCAAGTTAAGGTCTTAACTAATTAAATGATCAGAAAGATTTAGAAGACATAGAAATCATATTAAAATATTAAACTTTCATAAAAATAGATGCTTTGAAAAGCAAAGCATTGGGCTGGGCGTGGTGGCTCATGCCTATAATCCCAGCAATTTGGGAGGGTGAGGTGAGAGGATTGCCTGGGCCCATGTGTTCGAGACCAGTCCAGGCAAATTGGTGAGACCTCCTCTCTACAATAAATCAAAAAATTAGTCGGGCATGGTGGCGTGTGCCTGTAGTTCCAGCTACTTGGAAGGCTGAGGCAGAAGGATTACCTGAGCCCACCCAGCAGGTTGAGGTTGCAGTGGCCGTGAGCATGGCACTGCACTCCAGCCTGGTGACAGAGTGAGACTCCAACTCAAAAAAAAAAAAAAAAGAAGCAAAGCATCATTGTCATTTTAATATTTATTAATATTAACCTTTCTGAAAGATCCATGATGGAGGTGTGAAAGTGTTTACAGATCGGAACTATCTCTCGTCGTTCAACCTCAGTAAGCTCCAGTGTTTCTAAGAATTTCACAGCTACAAGTTCAAGAGCATCTTCAGGCCATGGCTAAAAATAAGAAAAAGAAAGCATCTTGAAATTGAATAAGTTATATGACTTCCTATGGGAGAAAAAAAATTCTGTCATCAAGGATGGAGTAAGTAGAAGACAACTGTGGGATATTTAACAGAGTATTTTTCTATTTATCTGCTACCTATTAGATATTTAGATATCTAAAATATCTAATAAATATTTTTATGGATTAAAATTAAAGATAATACAGTATAAAAAAGGATCAATGATATTTTACATATCAAAGATATATTATACTGCTTTCCCAGCTCTACCACTTGGATGTCTAGTAGGCATCCCAGATTTATCATGACAGTGGTAGAAGCTGATAGTTGCTCACTCAATGTCAATGAGCCATTTCTTCCTTAGGACTCCAATTTTATTCTAGGTATCAATATAACCAGCTAAAAGGTTACATTTCCTAGACTCCATTGCAATTCAGAAATGGCCAATGACATATAAGCACTTGTTAGATGCGGAAGTCAGAGAAAACTCTTTAGAGGATTACGTAGAGCTAGTATGCGTCCTTTTTGCTCTACTTTCATTCTTCTACTTCTTGCTTGGATCATAATAATGAACACTGGAACTTCAGCAACCACCTTAGACCATAAATTTACCTTGAGAATGAAAATCACATGCTAAGGAGAGTAAAACAGAAAGAACTTGGGATCCTGATGACTTTGTTAAGCCATAAAAGCCCCACTCTGCTTACCTTCAGATTGTTTCCAGATGAAAGAGAGAGAGAGAAAAAAAAAAAAGCTATGTATTTAATTTGGGTTTCTGTTACTAGCAGACTGTCACCATTTCTGTTACAATATCCAAAGCTGAACTTTTGATTTTCTTCTCCACAATTTGCTTCTTATCCAGTCTTCTCCATGTTAGGGAAATGATTCTTCTGTTTTTCCTGGAATATGCCAAGCATGCTTCTGCTTCTGGGCCTTTGGATTTGCTCTTCCCTCTGACTAGAACCCTCTTCCCTCAGAACTTCATATGGCTTACTCCCCCATCTAAGCTCAAATGACAACATATCAGTGAGGTTTTCCAGAGCACTCTTGCTAAAACAGCATTCTCTTCGTCATTACTCTGTTCCTTATACTGAGTTTTCTTCTTAGTACTTACCAATACCTGGCATGTTATGTATTCATTTGCTTATTGTCAGTCTATCCCCACCCCTCAACTAAAATGTAAAATCTATGAAAGTAAGGACTTTATTTTTCTTACTGATGTATCTTTGGTGCCCCAAACAGTATTTTCCAAAATATATCTGTAATATTTACTCAATTAAATAATTTATTTTAAATGAGTAATCTTTATTTGCTCATTCAAGTATTTTCCAGATTTCCTGTCATTGAGTTTCAACAAGAAGCTTGTAATTTTTTTTCCTTGATAGTAGACAATACGGATTTTAAGACCAATTTTTGTTATTGTTGTAGAGTTCTGTATCTGGTAAAATTCAAACTTTTTGTATCAAGCATCCCATTAGTAAAAAAAGGTTTGAGCACATACTGCCAGTATATGCGTTTTTACTAATAGATTATATTCATGCAATCTAATTGTACCAGTATATATTTTACACCCAAAAGAGACTTCTAAAGATTTATTATAAAGATCAGTCAAATTTTGTAGTGTCAATTAAATATAATTTACAAATCATAAAAAACATTACAGAGGCTTATCTTTGCATTCTAGACTTCACTTTTAAATATCTTGCTAATCATGCAGGTTTAGTATTATGTGTATTTATGTATTAGTTTAGTATTTATGACTAAGTGGCAGAAAACAATCTTACTGTGTCTTCAATAAAAAGGGGGATGTATAATCTTACAGAGTGATGCCCAGAAATAGGGTATTTTCAGGGTTACTTAATTTAGAAGCTCAACCATGTTATCAAGGATCCAGGTTCTACCTTTTTGCTTCACCATTCTCACTGCACTTTATTTTATCCTTGGGCTCGTTCCATCATGGTGATAAAATGACTGCTGCAGCTAAGGGTATTACATCCTAAGCAACAAGGCTGAGAGACTATAAAAGGCCCTTTTCCTACTATGTAACTTTTTCTAGTGGAAAAACTTTTCCCTCAAAGCTCCCAAGAGACTTCAACTCAGGACCCACCGGCAAGGAATGGTTCCTGCATAGGTTCAGGCATAAAACAGTCACTAGGGAGAGAAATGAGACTTAGACCAACCATGATCCAATCCCTCTAATGCACAGCTACATGAAGGGTAATTTCCCAAGCAAAATCAGAATTCTGTCATCAAGAATGGAGTAAATAGAAGATGGCTATGGGATAGGTAAGAGATAGTATCTCTCATACCATCATAAGATAATAGTGCAAGCCAGGCTCGGTGCCTCAGCCTGTAATCCTGCGCCTTTGGGAGGCTGAGGTGAGTGGATTGCCTGAGCCTGCGAGTTCAAGATCCGCCTGGGCAGCAAGACCTCATCTCTACAATAAATCAAAAAACCAGCCAGGCGTGGTAGCACATGTCTGTAATTCCGGCTACTTGGAAGGCTGAGGCGGAAGGATCGCCGGAGCCCAGTAGGTCGAGGCTGTGGTGGCCGGGAGTGGCCACTGCACTCCAGTCTGGGCGACAGAGTGAGACTCCATCTCAAAAAAAAAAAAAAAAAGATAATAGTGCAAGGAATTATATATCCTGGGGATAAGATTTATTGTTTAAACAGTTTATATAAATCCATATTCCATTTTCTGCTTCTTGCCAGATCTTGTTAGAAAGTCCTTGCTTTTGCCTCATGATGGGCTGACACAGAGCTCAAGCTAGTTCATGCTAGTCTGTGCCATTATTTTACCAACCACTTTTTGCTTGCTTTGTATCTTTAATTTTCAGTTAATTGCAGGAATCTCTCAGGGTACCTTGCATACTACCTATGACACATGGCCATCTGTCATACAAACTAAGTTTATATTTCATACAAAACCATTCCAACAATTGCAACATTCTTGAATTGTTTTGGCACCTCTAGTAAGCATACACCCTACTTTGTAGACTAGAGAGCAATCCAAAACAGTTCATGCCTTTCTGACTGTGTGACACATAGTGGTTTACACTTATTTTCTATGCTTCTTAGACTCAGGACCCAAACAATGCCATCAGATCCTCTAACACAGGTTCTATCTCTTCAATGCTTCACTTAAAATCTTTATTCCTCTCTGCTATCCACTAATCTCTCTTATCTATTCACAATTCCCAGTTTCCTCTTTTTCTAGTTTCCCCCAACGGATGTGACTCATTTATAATAGAATTGAAAGTCTAATGGTAATGAGAAACACATCCAGAAGTAGTAAAATTATACTTACAAGATTTCACAGAAGATTTATAGTTGGCAGGTTTGGTTTATTTGTTTGTTTGGCTTTTGACTAGTTAATGAAAACAATATCAAGATATGTCTTACATAAAGCAAAAGTGTTTCACATAGCTTTTATTGTTGTATGAACACTAAAACACCCACTAAGTGAAATATATGTGTAAGCCTCAAAAAAAGCAGAATTAGTTTTTCAAACACGCAATTGATAATAAATAGGTAAAAGAGAGTAAAACAAACTAGTATCAGAAATTATTATTATTATTTTGGGGTTGGAGTCTCACTCTGTCACCCAGGTTGGAGTGCCATGGCACACTCACGGCTACTCCAGCGTCAATCTGCTGGGCTCGGTGATCCTTCCGCTTCAGCCTTCCAAGTGGCCGGAACTACCACACCTGGCTAATTTTTTATTTATTGTAGAGATGAGGTCTCACCAAGTTGCCCAAGCTGGTCTCAAACCTGCGGGCTCAGGCAATCCACTCACCTCGACCTCCCAAATTGCGGGGATTACAGGCTGAGCAACTGAACCCAGTCAGAAATTAATTTTTAAAGGAAATTATCCAGGTTCAATGTATAGTCTACATTTTATTGGGCATAAGACAATTAAATAGAAGGTACCAAGAGCTACTGTTCTCAAAAGTATAGATACTTAATGGTCTTATACAGGCAACAACAATTTGTCTAAAGTTTAAGTGAGGCAGAGACTTTCATCATTTCTTGCCAGCATGACTGAAATTGTTGCCCAGTTGATCTTCCTGTCTCTTGTTCTGCCCTACTACAATTCATTTACCACACAGTCTCCAAATGTTTTGAGTTTTTTTCCTAAAATACAGATGAGCTAAAAATACATTAATATCACTGTGATATCTTTGGTATAAAACCAAGTTTCTAGGAATACCTTATAAATCCCTTTATATATAACTAGCATCCACCTAAAGCTCCAACTTGACTCCTGCTACCCTCATTGCCAGTCATCTATACCAAACTATCTGCACTGGCCCACATGAGTCATGCTCTCCCTACCCTTCTACCGTAGCACATACTATCCTCTATTAATTGTTAATTTTATGCGTCAACTTGACTGGATCCTGAGTTGCCCAGATATTTGGTCAAGTATTCTGGGTGCTTTTGTGAGGGTGATTTTGCATGAGTGTAACATTTCAACTGATAGGCTAAATAAAGCAGACCAGCCTCCCTAATGTCAGTGATTCTCACCCAATCAGTTAAAGGCCTAAATAGAACAAAAATGCTGACCCTCCCCCAAATAAGAGAAAATTGCTCCTGTCTGGCTGCCTTCAAGCTGAAACATTGTATTTTTCCTGCCTTCAGACTTGAACTGAATTGGCTCTTCCTGAGTCTTAAGTCTGTTGGTCTTCCGACTGAAACTATACCATTGGCTATCCTGGTCTTCGGCTGTCAACAACAGATCTTGGCACTTGTCAGGCTTCATAATCATGTGAGCCAATTCCTCAAAATAAATTTCTTTACATATAAATTTCCTATTGGTTTCTATAGAACTAATTTATCTTCATACTTCAGAAATACACTGTCTCATATGTATCCCTTTTACACACCAACATTATGGCTTTTTGATATAATTATGACTACTGGCTGTTTTTTCTGTCTTCCAGTCTAGAGTGTAAGCTCCTTGTAGGGATCAGTCTTATCATTCCCTGGTGCTGAAAATGATGCCTGCCATCATAGTAGGTGATCAAAAAACACTTGCTGAATGAATCTTCATGAAGATTAAAGAAGATTTCAGTAAAAGAGTTGACTGCCCCTTCCCCCAAAAACTACAAACCTGAAACCAGTCAATGGTACAGCAGTTGATGAGAGATGGGAACTGTCTCAAGCGATTTCGAAAGGCGTCTCCAATGGGGCTAAAGGCCACTACAATGTGAAGGTTCTCTTTGCAGCGATTCACAAAGAAAGCAAAAAGGGCTAAGGGACTGAGTTCACCGTGTTTATTGCCAGCCTGAGCTACTGGGCGAACACCCTAGGGAACACAGAAAATAAAAACCTCATAAATAAAAATAGATAAGCTGGTAATGAGATTAGTAGATATTAGAATATGAAGTCATTTCATTCCTCTCTCTAAATTTTTGTAAAATGTTTGTTTTATAGCAATAAAAGAGTTTTGATAGTTTGTCCTCCTCCAACTCCATAATTCTATAATTTAAAAATAAATGTCTGCCAAGAATTTACCTTATAAAGATAATTCCAAAAGTTCACCAAGATATATATATAGGAATATAATTCAACATTGTTTTTAAGAGAAAAAAATGTAAACAACTAAAGTGTCCATCAGTAAGGAACTAGTTAGGAACATAAAACATCTACATATTGGCATTTTATACAAATGTTTAAAATAATAAGGTGGCAGCTCATGCCTTTCACCCCAACTACTTGGGAGGCTGAGGTGGGAAGAACACCAAGCCCAAAAGTTTGATGCTGCAGTGAGTTATGATCATGCCACTGCAGTCTAGCCTGGACCACAAAGCTGCAAGATCCCATTTCTAAAATAAAAACAAAATAAAAAAGTGTATTATGCGCTATGAGAAGATCATCAAGATAAAATAAATGGAAAGGAAAGATATGTAACAGTATGTGGAATAAGATTCCCTTTGTCAATTTTTTTAAAATATAGAGGTGTATAAAATATGCAAATATAAAATAGAAATAGTAAAGCAATAGAAAAGTTTACTAAAGAGTGATAAAAAGAAATAATAACTAAAAATAGAAAAAAATGATAGCTAAAGCACGCAAGAAAGCCTAGCAAACCTTAGGAAATTCCACTCCATAATGGTGACTATTCCTTGAACAGGAGTATGGAGGATAAATTTCTATAGATCATCATTGTCAGTAGCTTTGGCCATGTCCCTGACATATTCCAGATAAAGGCAAAGAACTTGGTTGGTTTGTTTGTTTGTTTTCCTTTTCTCTTTCCTCACTCTAGGCCCTGAACAAGTAATGCACCATTTACTAAGGGCTTTCTAGTGTCTGACGTTACATAAGGGCTTTATTCTGTTTGATTCTCAGCCCTCACAACAACCCTATATAGGAAGAACTTTGTTTTTTTGTTTTTGTTTTTCTTTAAGTTGGAGTCTCACTCCTTCGCCCAGGCTGGAATGCAGTAGCATGCATGCTCACGGCCACCCCAGCATCAACCGCTGGGCTCTGGAGATCCTCCCGCCTCAGTCTTCCAAGTAGCTGGAACTACAGGCATGCACTACCACACCCGGCTATTTTGAATTTATTGTAGAGACGAGGTCTCACCAAGTTTCCCGGGCTGGTCTCGAACATGCAGGCTCAGGCAATCCACTTGCCTCGGCCTCCCAAAGTGCTGGGATTATAGGCTGAGCCACCGAGCCTGGCCCAGAACTTTTATCTGTGTTTCCATTCCATAGAAGAGAAAAGTGGAGTATTTGAACAAGGTGAATTTATGTTACTCCAGATGCTATCACTGGAGGCTGGGAATGAAACATCCAGGTGTAAGCGATATATTTTGTGGGCAAACGTAGTCATCATAATGAAAAATAGGGAAACTACTAGCAAAGATCTTGTGTGGGAGTGTCTTAGAAGTAGAGGTCAAGCTGGGCACGGTGGCTCATGCCTATAATCCCAGCACTTTGGGGTGGAGGTGAGAGAATTGCCTGAGCCCATAGATTTGAAACCAGCCTGGATAACTTGGCAAGACCTCGTCTCTACAATAAATCAAAAACTTAGCTGGGCTTGGTGATGCAGGCCTGTGGTTCCAGCTACTTGGTAATCTGAGGCGAAAGGATCACCTGGGCTGAGGGTTGAGGCTGCAGTGTTCATGAGCATGCCACTGCACTACAGCCTGGGCAACAGAGTAAGACTCCAACTCAAAAAAAAAAAGTAGAAGGCAAAGAATATGACATCTGAGAGTAGAGAGCACTTCACAATTGTATTTTTTGTCAATTAAATCACAAAGTATGATTTTCAGATATATTAGAACTATAAAATAAGCAGTTTTGTTAAGACTTTTGAAAAATTTACCAACGAGTGGTAAACCATAAAGGCTAAGAAAGTAACATTAAAGTCATGTTTTCTTACATCTATGTAACTCTAAGAAATGACTTTTAAAATCTCTAATCACTGTTAAATCATACTAAGTAATATTAAACAAGTAAAACAAACTGCCATCATCATGAAGACAGAAATTATAAAAATTTTTGCCTCATAACTATGGTAGAAGCAATTTAAATTTACCAAAACAATGATGTCTTAAACCAATATACTTAAAATTTTTAATTACCAAAATCATCGCACAAGTTGTATTTTTTCTGAAGAGCAGAGAAAGGGCTTCAAAATAATAAAGTTTCTGTGCCAAAAGCATTTACCTCCATCACTTCTTGTTTTTCATCTGCTGCAAAGATGTTAGGCACTTCTCCAGTATTGAGCACACTGTCAATATCCTCTAGAAAAGCTTCCTCTTTAATCTGAGTGTCTGTTATTAGAAAGACTGTCTTCTGGCCCTTCACGCCCACATTCCTTAACAGAACCTTAAAATAAACATGTACTTGTAAGCAGAATGTGGAGGACATCTCTTCGTTTTGCTTTCTCTCTCTTTCCCCTTCCTTTGATAATAGCATCTTGATTTTTAGGGAAGTATCTCTTACCAGTTCTGGTGGGTCTTCATTGCTCCCATCCCCTGGGTGGGTGACTCAAATTGGTCAGTATCCCCAAGTCCCTAGACATCATTGATTCAGAGGCATGTGATTTAAGCAGGGCCTAATCATAGTCTTACTTCAGGAACTGAGATGGACTTGGAAACAGAAGGAATCCTGAGATATAAGGGCCAGTAACCTACACTACTTAGAGTCACTGTTGCCTCATGGAATAAGCTTGCTGGAGAAGAAAGCCAAATAGAGGCGAGTAGTGCCAGGAGATAGAAAGAGTAATTCCTGAGTATATAATTTGAAACCCTAAATTCAGCCGTGTCAAAAGCCTATCTACCTCTAGACACTTCAGTCTTATAAACTAATAACTCCTTCTTTTGCTTAAACTAGTTTGAGTTGGGGTTTTTTGGAGGTCAATGGCAACCAGAATTTCCAACTAATATAAAGATATGGGCTCAGCAGTGTGCTGGAGCTGACTCATATAGGCTTGTTAGAACTGATTGTTAAAATTTTAGGAACTTGTGAGAAGGTTGAAAAACATAGCCAGGATTAAAAATTAAATTATACAAACTTATAATAATATAGAAATACATGTATATTAGAAAGAAAAATAACAGGCCGGGTTTGGTGGCTTAGCCCGTAATCCCAGCACTTTGGGAGGCCAAGGCAAGAGGATTGCCTGAGCCCACGGGTTCGAGACCTGCCCGGGCAACTTGGCGAGACCTCATCTCTACAATAAATCAAAAGAAAAAGACAAGAAAAGAAAGAAAAATAACAAATACTTAAATCTCATAATGTTCTGTCCTATTTTCTTTTCTTTTCTTTTTTTTTTTTTTTTGAGTTAGAGTCTCACTGTCACCCAGACTGGAGTGCAGTGGCATGCTCACAGTCACTGCAGCCTCGACCTGCTGGACTCAGGTGATCCTTCTGCTTCAGTCTTTCAAGTAGCTGGAACTACAGGTATGTGCCACCATGCCCGGCTGATTATTTGATTTATTATAGAGACGAGGTCTCATCATGTTGCTCAGGTTGGTCTTGAAACCCTGAGCTCAGGTAATCCTCTCGTCTCCACCTCCCAAGGTGCTGGGATCACAGGTATCAGTCACTGTGCCTGGCTACTATTTTATTATATTTACTATTATCTCTGCTCTATAAATTATTTAAATCTATTGTATCTATACAGTAAATTATTATGTAATAGTGTTCTATTCACATTTCTTTTCATCTCTGTTTTCAGTGACATCATGTTGGTAGCTTTGTATCAGCCATGGTGGGAGTTTTTAAACCACAAAAACTGACAAATGCTACAATTCAGAGGTCCTCCTCATGCCCAGCCCTGAAGAGCTGATTGCTAAACATTTGTCAACATACAACTGGATATAGTTTACTGTGAAAATAGTATTATAATTTCTGCAAGTGAGTTTGAAAAATAAACTTCTATCTCTATTATAAAAGTATATATTTTAAATTATTAAATATTAACTATAATTAATATTTTCATCCATAAAATAAATGGTGAGTTTTCATATTGTACAACTATGTCCTTTTCTCATTAAAGCCATCTTCTAATATAGGCTGTTTTGTTCCTAGAAATAATTTTCTGTCATCAAAACTAGGAATTCTAGTTTTTAAAGTAGTATTATATCTAATTATGTCAGTTTTATAATTATTAATATTACATCAAAATAAATTAAAATAACTTAATGTAAACAAATATATTTAACTTATTGGCATGAGCATCACTGTATTTAAAAGTCATCTTCAAACATACAGTGTATAAAACTGTTTCCAAACAGAAAAAGAGAGTTAACATTTTCAAAATACGAATTATGCACCAGGAATATTACCAAGAACATTACATACATTTATAATTTAACCACAATAATCTATTAAATAGGGATATTATCCAAATTTTACAAATGAAGAATATAGGAAGTGACATCAGCAAGATGACAGACTAGGAAGCTTCAAGACCTCATTCTCCCATGGAGACACCAAATTAGCAATATACAAAACAAAATTACCTTTGTAAGAACTCTAGAAACTAGTTAGGGACCCCCCTCGGGTTCCCTCCCACTCTGGGAGCTTTTCTGTCCTCTCAATAAATCCTGCTTTCTAAAATAAAAATAAAAATAAAAAAATAAAGAAACTAATTAGGTGGCTGCAGTACCAGAAGAGAGCATGAACAAAAGAAGGGACTGTTCCTAGAAAGGTAAGAGAGTATCTAGCATTTTTCTCATTCTAGTAGTGTGGTGAGATCCAGAGAATACTATCCAAATCCTGGCTTCTTTCTCAGAACAGGAGGAACAGAGTTGAACTTGAATCTAGCATTCTAGTTTGTCTGGGGACTGTCTCACTTGGCTTGGGGCACTGACAGAACAATGGCCTAGTTTGTATACCAGGTTGGAGGACACAGAAACAGTGTCCTGGTGGGTTAGAGCAGCAGAGACTGCAAGACACGGTGGGGGGGGGGGGAAGGATGATATTAGGATAGAGGAATACAAAAGAAACAAAGCAAACAAAACAAAAGCTCCTGAGAAAAATACAGAGAATTAAGACAGCCAAAAGCACTTATACATATAAGAATAAAAGCACACACACAATCCCACAGAAGATCCATTCTCAGAAAAGGTCTGAGAGGTCTCAGAACCTCTAGCTGGGTTGATTGGTAAAGGTCTTTCTTCCCCTGAACAAGACAAGTCATAAAGATCGGAAGAGGTAGCTATTTTTCAAATGGTCAAATCTCAACAAAAGAGTCCAAGGGATGCCAAGAAATAGGAAAACATGACCCAATAAAAGAAACAAAAGAAGCTCCAGAAACCAACCATGAAGAAATGTAGATCTATGAACTGACCAACAAAGAATTTAAAATCACTACTTTAAGGATGCTCAATGAGCTAAAAGAGAACAAAGACAAATAAGCAAATCAAAAAAACAATGCATGAACAAAATGAGAATATTAACATAGAGATAGAAACTGTAAAATACAACAAAATAGAAATTCTGAAAAATTCTTTATTTTTAAATTTTTTATTTTAAAGATGTGGAATACAATTCAAGGTTAGGCATACAAATGTTCATTATGCAGGTACCCTTGTTGATGAGGTGTGCCCCCCTCCCCCAGCAGATTCCCACTACTGCCGATCTGAAAAATTCTTTAGAGGGGTTCAACATTAAGCTTGATCAGATAGAATAAAGAGGCAACTAACTTGAAAACATATAATTGGAAAGTATTGAGTCAAAAAAGCAAAAATAAAAAATAATAAAGAAAAGCGAAGTGAGCCTAAGAGACTTATCAGATACCATCAAATGGACCAATATATACATTACAGGAATCCCAGAACGATAAGAGGGAGAGAGAAAGAAGCGCAGAGCTTATTTGAAGAAATAATGCCTGAAAACTTCCCAAATATGAGGAAGGAAATGGATATAAAAATTCAATTTTATGGAAGCTCGATGAATTTAAACTAGGATGGACTCATAGACCCACACTGAGAAACATTATAATCAAATTGTCAAAAGTAAAATGCAAAGAGGAAATCTTAAAAGAAGAAAGAGAAAAGCAACTTGTCATTTGCAAGGGAGCTTCCACAAGATTATCAATAAATCTGGTCACGCGAACACAAGGGTGGAAATGGCAGATGCTAGACACTGCTGGGGTGGGAGGGAGGGAAATAGGGGGAGGTACATGGCAACACGCTGGGTACCAGGTCCACTACTAGGGGGAGAGGACGAGCTACAAGCTCAAACTTCACCAGCACACAACTTACTTATGTACTAAATCTTCATCTGTACCTCACAACTCTAAAATAAAATAAAATATAAAAACAAATAAATTAAAAAAAAAAAAAAGATTATCAGTGAAATTTTTTTTTTTTTACTAGAAGCTTTACAGACTAGAAGGAAATGGGATGATATAGTCAAAGTGCTAAAAGAAGAAAAAACGGTTAACCAAGAATATTGTATCTGGCAAAACTTCTCTTCAAAATGAAGGTGGAATTAAAACTTTTCCAGATAAAGGAGGAATTTAATTACCATTAGATTTCCCCTGCAAGAAATACTAGAGGGGGTCCTTCAAGTTGAAACAAAAACAATATAAAGCCAAACAAAAGAATGAAGTTCTCCAGTAAGGATGAATGTATGAAGAAATACAGAACCTTGTACTATTGCAGTTTTGGTGCATAAATTTACTTTTCATTTTAAAAGACAAAAGCATACACACAAAAAACTCCTATAAATCTATGTTAATGGGTATACAATATATAAAGATACAATCTGTGACACCAATAACAAAATGAGGAAGGGATTAAGCTGCAAAGGAATAAACTTTTTACATGCAATTGAAGTTAGGTTGTTATAAGTTTAAAACAAATTGTTAGCTTTATGTAATAGGAATGGTAGCGACAAAAAGTATAGAATATGCACCCAAAAAATGAGAAGGGAATTAAAGTATGTCACTGTAAATAAAAATTAACAAAATACAAAGGAAGGCAATAAGAGAAGAAATGAGGAACCAAGAAGCCACAAGACACACAGAAAATAAGTATCAAAATAGCAATAATAAATCCTTCCCTATCAGCAATTACTTTATATGTAAAAGGGTTAAACTCTCCAATCAAGAGATACAGAGTAGTTGAAGTCTAAAAGACAAGATCCACAATATGCTGCCTGCAAGAGATTCACTTTAGATCAAAGAAAACATATAAGCTGTAAGAGTAAGGATGGAAAAAGATATTCTAAGCAAATGGCAACTAAAAAAAAGCTGGGGTGGCTAAACTAATATCTGATAAAACAGACTTGAAGTCAAAAAATGTCATTATTAATGAAAAAAGGGTCAACTCACCAGGAAGATATAATAATTACAGTTGATCCTCGAACAATCCAAGTTTGAACTGTGAGGGTTCTCTTATTCCTGGAATTTCTTCTATCTCTGCCATCCCTGAAACAAGATCAACCTCTTCTTTTCCTCCCCCTTCTCACCCTACTCAATGTGAAGACAATGAGGATGAAGACCTTTATGATGATTCATTTCCACTTAATGAATAGTAAATATATTTTCTTTTCCCTATGATTTTCTTAATAACATTTTCTTTTCTTTAGCTTACTTTATTGTAATAATACAGTATATAATACATGTAGCACTAAAAAATACATGCTGACTGTTTATATTGTCAGTAAGTCTTCTGGTTAACAGTAAGCTATTAGTAAGTATATTGTCAGTAAGGCTTCTGGTTAACAGTAAGCTATTAGTAGTTACATTTTGGGGAGTCAAAAGTTATACATAGATTTTTCAGTTGCATGGGAATTAGCGTCCCAATTCTTGCATTGTTCAAGGCTCAACTGTATGAATATTTATTCACCAAACCACTGACTTCCTAAATATACAAAGCAAACTTTGACAGAGTTGAAGAAAGAAATGGACAACAACACAATACAATAGTCCCTCCTTATCAAAGGGGGATACATTCCAAGACTTCCAGTGGATGCCTGAAATTGTGGATAGTACTGAACTCTATATGCTATGCTTTTTTCTTATACATATCTATGATAAAGCTTAATTTATAAATTAGGCACAGTAAGACATTAACAACAATAACTAATAGCAAAATAGAACAATTATAACAACAAATTGTTAAAAAAATTATGTGAATGGGATCTCTTTCTCCCTCTCATAACTAGTAGAGAGCAGAGGTGGTTGTAATAAAATCAGATAAAACAGACTTTAAGTCAAAAACTTTCACAAGATAAAAAAGGACACTGTATATGCCCGAGCCCGTGGGTTCGAGACCCGCCTGGGCAGGCGAGACCTCATCTCTACAATAAA